GAATGTCCCACCCACCACATAGCAGGGGTGCAGTGCATCTCAGCAAGGTGCTGCGCACTGTCTGGGAACTGGGGCCACTGGGGCTGAGCACTGTTGGGCTCCGGGTGACTGCTGCTGCCAGTGAGTGCAGGGCATTTTTTTTTTTTAAGTGCCAGGAGGCTGGGCCCAGGCAGGGCAGCCATGGGGGCTTCCCCCGTGGCTCCCCACACCCAGAGAGAGGCAGGCACAGCTGGAGGAACCACAGGAGAACCTGCAGCCACCTGGCTGTGCCTGCCTCTCCCCAGCCAATCCAAATCTTCGAACCTTTTCTGAATTGATTTGGATACTTCAAATCAATTCAGAGCTCTTAATGGGTCTCCCGACTCAATTCAGATTTGGAGATTCAGCCCCCGAATCGGGCTGAATCTCCTCCAAATCGAATCGGTGACCGAAGCAAAAGCAGAGTATTAGAATAAATGAACAACCAATCTGATGCTACATGACAATTCCTATATTCTTGCCTAGGAGAGACTTCAAGGGTTGAATTCACTTCAATTAACTTAAAGCGGGAGGTGTCATAGAATTAATGGAAATAGGACAGGATGTCCTGGAATAGGAGTTTAACAGAACGAGGAATTGACAATTCTCCAGAAATTGGACTCCATTTTGGAAGAGAATCTAGCTGCTTAGGAAAACTTTGAGTTACAATACTAAGCTAAATCTTGCAAGACAGGTCCTTACATGAGATTGAGACTTTTTTTTATCCTTGGCAAAAATTTCTGTGAGGATACATTTTCTAAAAGGCACCCCACCTTCTCAATGCTTAATTCTGGCCAGAAGCTGATAGTTAAAAAAATTACCAACATTTTCCAGCACCTGAAAAATAAAGGAAAAGGATGCCCAGGTCTAGCTGTACACACAGGTTCATGTGAATTTTTATTTCCTCTGGTTTTCCCAGACTTATAATGAGAAACATCTGAAACTGAAGATTTGGAGTTTGGATAAGACATCACAAATATAAGAGGTAGGCAGTATTGACAGTGAATTCTTCATGTGCAATATAAAACAGGTCTTTGCAAAGTGATCCAAAGGCGGACAAGGAAAACTTTGTAAATGGAAGAAATGAATGAATACTTTACAGCTGAACCATGAGTTTACAAGGGCTAAGAAAAGAAATCTGAAAGCTAAAATCTTACTAGGGAAAATAATATCTTCAGTGAGATCTTCTCTATCCTGAGGGGGAAATAAGAAATAATAGCTGCCAAGACAACCCTTTTCCATTTTCTAAAGGAAAAAAAACAAACCCAAACAAACTCTGCCGCTTATAAGTATTATTTATTTAATGAAAACACTCTTCAAACTACCTACACCATCCATCGGTTAGAAATATTAAACAACTCCTCCCTTAATCCTAAAGACTGAATAAAAACAAGTGGCACTAGTAGTTATTATATTTAAAATATCTGCATACATATATGCATGCACCCAGTGGAGGGAAAAATCATGTTGCTTTGCAAAAACAGCTTATGTGGGTGATATTTTAAATAGCATGTTTGTGGCAGTAGGCACAATTTGCTCATTTTACATAATCAGATCAGAGTTTAAGTGTATCCATGGTGGCTGTGGCAAGAGGTCATAGCGAAACAGATGCCAAGTAATGAAAACCAAAGGAAGGCGTAGCCTCATAAAAACACCAACAACCCAACAGCCTGGCATGTCAGACCTTGCTTCTTCTCAGTCCTCCCACTCACAGTACCTGTCCCTTCAGACCACAAATGAAAGATGCTTGCTGGCCCTTTAAAATGAGCAGGATCACAGCCTCTCCGATGCACGTTCCATATCCTTGAAAGATGAAGACTGATATTTTGAAACCAAAGGCTGCCTATAGAAGTGCTGGTTCGTGTCCTAATTAGAACGCGTTGGATTAATTGAGTCTGCTCTGCATTCGAACTAGAGCACTCCAGCACGGCCTCGCTGTCATGTGTATTAAGCTCTCCCCCACTCCCTGCAACCGCATGTTACAGGGGCATCTTAACTAAAGCTTGTTGAATGAACTTTAGTTAAAGCTCCCCCATGGCCATTTTAAAACACAGGGAGCTTACCATCCAAGATGGTGAGCCATTTCAATTAGAGTGGCTGTTGGAGAACTGCTCTAATCAAAATGGCCCATCCCCACCCCCAAACACGTGTATAGAGACCCCAGATGCCTAATTTTAGGTGCCCGGCTTCACACTGTAGTATGTCCATATAGCTAGGTTTTCATTTTTACCCCACAAGCAAACTTATCTTCGTGTTATTACTTCAGACCTGTATCAGCTGGCCTGTCCGTGCGAGTTGGTCCCAAATCTCTGGCTTCCTCCCTTCCTGCAGAGAGGACCTTCCCCCTCCCTTGCCCCTATCCTGTGTAGAGGTCGCTCATGGGCTGCAGTTGGTAAAGTCTGGCCCCTTCTGGATCACTGCAGGATGCCTGCAGTGGGGCTGGGATTTGTGAAGGGGGGAGAGGTTGGTACAGGAACTGGGCAGGTCCACGTCAAGATGCAACCACTCCTCAGATGGGAGAGGCTTGGCATTTCTGCACGCAGTTTAATAGGAGACCAGAAATACAGAGGTTACCTTTCCTACCGTGCCCCTCTCCATAATGGGGAAGATTCACTCAGTGGATATCCGTGAGGCAGCTGCAGCCAGGAAGTTGGAGGGAAACGTGGAGGCCTTGGGGATTTCACGTATGGAAGGCTGGTGGCTTTGCAGTTTTGCTAGCATCTAAAAATATTAAAACGTACTGAATTTCAGTTCATTCTGGGGTGCAGGAGAGAAGGAATAACATTGGTAAAATTGGCTAGGGAACCACTTCCTGCAACTACAGGCATTTAGTTGGGTGGGACTGTTAATTACTTGACAGCAGTTCAGCAATAAAAGCAAGTCCTTCCATCATGCTCTACCATGGTAGTAGAAGTAATGGTACCCAGTGCCCTTTCAAAGGGGAAGCACAGTTCCTAAGAAGCTGAATCATACATCCGTCACTTTAAACCATTCACTGCACAAAAATATAATTTTACTCGCAACAAACATGAAAGATGTTGGCCATTTAAAAAAAGCAGGATCACAGACTTCTCCATGGAAGTTCCATGTCCTTGAAAAAGACAAAGACTGATATTTTGAAATTCAGATGCCTAAGTTTAGGCATCTAACTTCATATTTAAGCACATACATACAGTGCCATAGCAAGGTTGGGGCAAGTGGGGCGACCACCCCGGGCGCCCAAGTGAAGGGGCACCAATGGGTGCTGCCCAGCTGGGGTGGGGCATAGGATGGAGCCACGAGCAGCCTGTTTGGTGGGTCATGGGGATGGGGAAAGGGCGGCTCCCGCTGCTGCATGCACTCCCAGACAAGCGGAGGGGGGAACGAATCTGTGCACAGGGCGAGGGCAGGCTGCTGCTGCAGGCTTTGCCCTGAGCGCCAAACTTGCTTGCCATGGCATTGCATACCTATAGCCAAATTCTCAAAAGGTGCTGAGCACCCTAGTTTTTATTAATTTCCATGGCAAATCAGGGTGTACCACTTATCTCTGAACAGTATAAATGTAGACATTTGACCTTCGGTGTATTTTACCATTTTCAAAATAGTATTTATAAAGAAAACACTACTGCTTAGCAGCCCATCCTCAAGCTGCTGAAAAGCCCTTCTGTTCCCCTCAAATACACTGGTATCTCCCCCTTCCTACTTTTAAACTACCATGTGAATAGAGTTTCCAGTGAACCAACAACAACCGGCACGACTAAGATGTATTCTGAGGTTTTCTACATTAGATTCTGTGGAAAAGGTGCTATGCATCTTCATAGCTCTAACGTGCCCCAGGATACTTTATACTGGTTCTCACAGCTTACATGTACTAGCAAAGAAAATTACTGTCAAACATGGGGTGGAAGAAAGAAACCACTACCTGGTGCAGTTTGTCAGCAAAGAAAAAAGAATAAGTTCCTGATGTTCAGGGTTAGATGAGTTTGAAGCAAAATAATTGCTGTATAGAATTAAACTAGGCATGGAAGGAACCCTTCATACCACAGAAATAAAACCATGATTATACCAGAAAGGAAAAGAAAAAGGAATGATTTTTAGATCAAACTCTGGGAATAGGAAGATTCCAAGTGCCAAGAAACAGAGAAGTGAAACACTGCAATTCCTTATCAGACAAAGATTGGATAATGAGTTGTAATGCAGAACTGAAGCCAGCTCAGGGAAGCTGGGAACAAGCCATATATTCAGAATGAAAATGTGTTGAAAACAAAAAGCCAAATGAAAGCTCTCTGGAAACCCGTACGAGTGGAAACTGCAAGTAGCACAGCAGTGACGTTCAAAATAAAGATGGGCACCCATCTTGAGACTAAGAAAAGGGATTGGCTTAGACTACTGGAGGGATACAAAGAAGTTCTGAGTCCTATTCACATTAAATTAAGGATTAAAAAGATTTAATTTCTCCAAACAAGACGTCATTTTTAAGGGGCTCCAAAACCAGTTTCCCCAGCTCCCCGAATCCTGATCCTCACATTAGAGTTCAGAACTTTAAGAAATATTTTAGGCCCGATTCTTATTCATAGTAAGGCCACTTTATACCACTTCAGCATGGTTACAAAGCCTTAAAGTAGATGTTAGTATAATTTGATATTGCTTTAAGGCTGTGTTAACATTGCCAAAGTGATAGCAAGTGGTCTTACTGCAAATGAAGGTATTTTTTCCCCAACAGGGCAAACTGAAATTGAATCACCATTGCATTAAAATTTACAAACTCTCAGTTCTTTAATTAAACTATAGCATATACCTTTCTTTACACACAAAAGTCCTCCAAGTCTATTTCATCTATGACCTGGGTCACTTAAGAACTTGACGGGATAGTTTAAGCACAGGAATGGAAATGTAGACTCAGAAGCTACAAAGGACACAATGGACTCCATGGAGGGTCACTGCAGTAGTTGATGTAACTAGTATTTCAAAGAACAGACAGGACTCTCTTACTGGAAGAGCCACGCTTTTACTAAGCAGTAACATGATGAACGCAGACAAGATTCCCCAATTTTCACTGACACGAGACTATAAAAAGAAGCTAACGTAAATAAATAAGTAATTTCAAGATGCTCGTAAATGTGCACAAGTAGAGGTAGACAACGTTCCCTTATTTGAAAATTTAATTTTAAAATACAGAAAGTCATCTCTCCCCTCTCCATTCCCATATCCCAAATCCTACAAATTAGGTAACTGAAATTGAGGTTTTCCAGACCATTTTCTTCACTACAGAAGGCAGAAGCTGAGGAAGCAACTGATAGAGGGATGATTGTCATTTTCAGTGATTAGAACCAGAATTTGAATCAGTGCTGATTAAAAGAGAAACTCAAAACTATATTCAAACAGAATCAGACATATTTTAAACAAATACAATTGTGACAAGAGACATGATTCAATTATTAAGAGCCCACCTTTTAATTGCTTATTAAGATGACAGTGTGTATCTTTGCCTACATACATTTAGCTAAGCCTTTTCACTTTGACAGCGCATAAAATTATCCATGCCAACTATACATCTCTCACTTTTATGTCAACTTGAAATTTGCCATCTTTCCATTATCCTTTTGGTCATAAATTAATAAGGAGGAACATGCTTCATATCAGCCTCAAGCTCTTAGGGATTGTGTCAGCTTTGCATACATGTTCCAGAAGAATTAGCATTGGTATCCCCTTTAAATTTAAGTTGCTCACCTAGATACAAACACACACACTTTGGGTCGGTTCCTGGGTTCAGACGACCTATACAGACACCAGGCAGGAGACGCTATGTGAAAATGGGTTACAGCTCATAATTAAACTGTTCTAAGTATATTGCTACTCTGAGTATATTTTCTCACTTCATGTCGAATGCAAAAGCTTGGAGGGACCAAAATACAGTCAAAAACTCAACCACTGTATGGAAACTCTTCCATTTCCTTTCTGTCCATGCCCTTGTTTCTACTGCCCACACCTCTTTATACCTATTATGCCAGCAGGTGGAAGGCTTTGTAAGATATAAGGCTTTACCCCAGCTATATGCTACTGCAGCTGACGCATCATTGATGCTTTCTCAGGTGGTTAAAACGGCTTAGGGTCATATTATGCTAGTGGAGTGGTGATGAGCTAAATGCTATATTGGATAATTTTGCCCCCTATTTTTTTTTTGGGGGGGGGGGGGAGGGGCGTGCCTTAGTAAATCATAACAGATTTGAGAAATTCTTTGCTACTACATTCTGGTTGCACTGAATGACCTGACTGCAGTCTAGTGTGTAACAGTAATTACCATGCTGCATTCTTGTTTTGATAGCTGCATGCCCCCCTCCTCCCACCCCTCTAAAAAAAATTTAAAAGATGTTTTATACCAAAGGAAATACTAAATGTAGAAACGGTGGCTTGATTCATTTCACAGCTGTAGTCTTTTTTGATTTGTTTGTAATTTTCTACACTACTGCTTCCAATTTGATACTGTCTGGGCCTAGGATGACAATAAGAATGGGATAACAGATGATGAGCTCAAAATACTGAACACAATCATACTCACCCTACATGTACCTACAATCAATATGTCACTTTGAGGAAGAAACCATCAGCCACTGGGCAAAGTTTGGAATATAAAATGTCACAGAACCCAAGATACATTTCTTATGTACTTAGAAGCTGTCAGTACAGCTAGTCTGTTGTTGAACAGGAGACAGTCTGAACGGTTCATTATAAATAGCTTAAAATACATTAATTAAAACAGATGTGGGACATTCAGACTTTTCAGTAACTCTCCTTTCATTCCCCTCTAAAACCAAAACACATAAGGTGAAGTTTGGGAGCGGTGTAAATAGATGTTACATACATTGGTGAACTCATTTCAGCCGGAATGACACCTACTTCCCTCAGGTTTCATTTGTTTCTAAGTTTATGAGCCAGTTTCTCTCCCTTGCTATATGAGAGGATTGCCACTGAAGTCAACGGGAACCGTGAATATGCAAACAGGACAAGACTTTGACATGCAAACACTTACAAAAATATGTTTACTAATTAGTTTTCTGAAATGGTGGTTTTTATATTAAAATCCAGTGAGAGAATATCTTGGTGCCTACATACAAGTGCATTCAAGCTTTTAAGCTTATTTTCACACAAAAGCTTAAGATGATGATTGTTACATTGCATAGCCTCATCTTGTGTCTTCATTATTGATAGCTTTTAAGCCAACATTTTGGAAGCCTAATCAAGAGTTCAGGCTCCATTGTCCCTATCCCAGATAGTTTAAATATCAGGGAGGGTGCAAGAAATGCATGAAACAAGGCAATAGATAGAGTACCAAAACAGTTTAGCAAAAAATAGCAGTCTGAACTCGTTGCTGGTCTAGTCTACATCTGTTTTATGTGCTTTCAAGAAGTTCTCGAAACCTTCTGTCTCAGGTAGCCACGTATCTGCTACATTTAGCCTGCGCATAGCAAAATGAGCGAGCATGCAAGCCTAAAGGAAATGCATGAGCAAGGAAGAACAGGTCACACACTCTCTCAATTCCCTGTTCAGTGAGAGGGCTGGAAGAAAGACTGGGAGGCATGTACTCGCTGAGAGAATGTAGGTATTTAAGAAAAATTATGCAACAAGATCTAGATGGAGCATTAGTGCTACAAAAAGCCCACCTCTTACAAAATAGCAGTAGCTAGAACGGCTCAGTTCATAGATCAAATGATTTAGCACGGGACCTTGATCATTTACAGCTT